GCGGTATAATACAATTGAACCATGGTTAAACCATGATTTTAGTATAAAATATTATACCGATGACTTTTCTGGTATTGTACGGTATTTCAATCCTTGGTGGTCGATAGTAAAATGAATTAACCTGCTGAGGAATTGCGGCAACGATCCACCAACTAAACGCCCTTTAAAGCCCGGCCAAACCTGGGCTGGGAAGTGAAAGGGCCGGGCCGGGACGGGGATAGAAATAATAAGAAGTTTTGGGCTGGAAATGGCGGAAAGGGGAATCGAAGTAATTAGTAAGCCAATCGTGCCCACTACTGGGCCTGAGAAGGAAGGAGAAAGTGGCTGAACTTCTGGGCGGTTGGAGCTAAGCCCACCGTCCCAAGAGAAAACGGTCCTTAGGGCTTAGGCCACTAGGCCAGGAGGCGACTTGAGGAAAGCAACAATTGGAACTCGGAGGCTACTGGCTAGGGTGAACATCGCAAACCAAATCCGGCTTGCTACCGGTAACTACATGATAAATATCGTCGTTTGGTTTTGATGATAGTTAAATCGATGTATTGTCATCAATGTATAGTTAAATCGATGTATTGTCATCAATGCATGCATAATAATATACATGTATATTGGTGTATTGTAGTTTACATTGTTTGGTTTCTGTGATAGTAATTATAGTATTTAAATAAATTATATCACTTTTTGGGTGAAATGTCACTTTTACCCTTTGTTTTTATTATAAAAAAACAACACACATAAAAAGGTAGGGACATATTTGAAAGAAGAAGAAAACACAACAATCTCCATCAAACAATCTCAACAATCTCTTGAGATTTAACTATCACTCATTTTGAGTAATAGTTTGTGTCAAATCAAGCAAACAATGCATGTATTGTTTGCGCAGAAAATTCAGAAAAACGATGCATTGTGGACATTGCATGCATTGTAACTATCTCAACCAAACTATCACCGAAACCAAACGACCCCTATGTTTACCGCGAAAATGATGACTTCGATTTGATATGCTCTACCCGACCTGTCCCGACCGGGATATATCCAACACTAGAGTTCCAAACACAACTCTTTAGTACAATAGGACGTTGAGTTCTTACTGAAACAAGCATAGGTTGGGTGAAAGAGGCATGTCCATGACTCAGGCTGCGTTCCAGAGGGGCACAACATGCGAGTAGGAGCAGGATTTGGAGAATCATTCATGATTAATCAGCCACGAAATGGAAAAAGGACAAAGGAATGTGTTGAAGAAAGGACAATAATCATAATTATTTTAATTAAAAGATTGTGATGCTGACAATAACAAATAAGGTATACTCGATCGTCCTCTGATAGTCGACCACAGACCAGCCCCACACACATATGAACACAGTCCGCCTGCTGCTATGCCTAACCAGATTCTCTCAACTTTGTCTCATGGCCGTTATGGCGCAGGAATCGACTTTGGTAGTTTCGTTGGATGGCTTGGCATCGCATACAACCAATTGAATGTGAATCTAGTAATTGAGAAAGCATAAGCATTTCTAGTTAGTCGCATACAACCAGATTAACTGCAATTTTCAATAAATATCTAGTTAGCTTTTGGTTTTGAAGGGAAAAAAAGTTTCGATCTCACTTTAACCGCAATCCCGAGTAACATAACGCCACCTTCGTCTTTAGCCATTGAAAATGCTTTGAGGTTATGGTTTGCCAAGAAAAGGGCAAATGTGGCACGACCGCTAAGCATTTTCAGCGGCAATCGAACAACAATTGGAGAGGAAAAGAGCATTAGAGAAATTAAACAAAATAAAAATTTGTGATCACTGAAGTGACGGGAAGCTTTCTAGATGGTTTAGCGGTTTAGGGTTGCCCCCATACCATACGTTTTTCCACTGGACCGATTCTTTCTTGGGGGTTTTCATTGAATGGACCAATTCATTCACGTGTCCAGCTGCAAGCAAAACTACAACAATAATGGCTCTGAAAATTGACGGGGCGAAGGAGGCTCTTTTATTGTTCTCTCAGCAATTTGTCTTCAAATCCGACAGAAGGGGAATAAAGAGAGAAAATACAAACCAAAGGGAAGCAAGCAAAGGGAAAAGTCGCTAGGCATGTCGGCGGGACTCAAATCATGCATGCGCCTGGCAAGGAAAAACGTAGCCGTAGGGATGGCATAAATATCTACCATCATAGATATCAATCCAAATTCCACCGGTAGGGCAAAACTATATCTCGGTGAATTATATCACTTGATATGGGCAATTCCCGAGTAATCAGGTATCTAATCCGAACACGTCCTATCATGGACATTAGATCCGAGAAAATAGACCAAACCGTTAGAAAAATCGTAGTTAAAATCGGACCGCACAGTTTGGTCCGAACAGTAGACCATTAAGTATGGTGTGGTCTGGTCCATGGTCTGTAATATTTGATGCTATGAAATTAATGCTTTTACTTTGTATCTTTATTATGTACTAAGATTTAGGGTGTCAAAATTATTCATGCATGTTAGAATTAATGTTTTAATACAAAAAAAAAAAATCTTTGGTTTGGTTCAAGTTTTTGTTTGGTTGACTAAACAAATTGTTCATTTTTCGTTGAGTGTGGTCTATATGGACCAGACCGCACAAACATGGTCTGGACCGGACTGTATAGTCTGTGGTCTGGTTTGTGTTCTATACTCCAGCCTCTCGATCTGGACCATAGACCGTATATATGATCTAATCTGGACCAGATCATAGATGTATAATATTTTTTTCATGAAATTATGTCATTTTTAATTAATATTCTTCATGATAGTGATTTATGTTCGTAACTTTCCACTTATATATTTCCACTTATATAATGTCATTATACGTGTGAGTGTTAACTTGTTTAGTTCGAATTATAAAAAGAAATTATTACTTATAAATAATCGTGGATACCCAAAACTCGATTGAATATGGACGTAATGTTCATTTTCTACTCGATTCTTGTATGAGATTCTTGTATGAGTAATTGAGTATGAGTAATGAATATGGCCTCTAGAGGGTCCCATTCATTAACCCTAACCCTAGAGTAAAACAAGTTCTGTCAACAGATAATAGAAATACCAAATAACAAAACCATCAACAAACCCACTGAGATACAATGATAAACAACCATATTAGTTCAGTGGCTGATAAACAATAGCCCTCTCAGATCAGACGAGCCCACCACAGAAAACAAAGAAAGATGCTAAAAATCCAGCATAGACAAACCTCTCAAAAGAAGAAGGCAGGGGAATACTACACTACTTACTGCACTGGGGACACTTGGCCACTAAAAAGCGAATCATTTCAATTATCTGCCTGTCCTGCCTTTGAGATTCTGCTTTTTTTCCACACCATCTCCTGTCTTCATCATCGCCTTTTGACTATTCCCCGCTGCAAAAAAATGCATCATAGTGAGGAAGCAAGCAATCATGGAGAGGAAGGAACCGAAAGTCGCTGCCACAGTTGGCCAATGATCTCGCTCATGAAGCAAACCCCTATGCATCATTCATGTCTGCCGCTCAAGTTTCCTTTCCGAGTCACATTTACAATGGTTCTACATTAAACTACCACGAAAAAGTAATGCCTAGCCTCTGATTGCTTTACCAATCTCGAGGGAAATGGATGATGAATGAGCAGCGAGCAAGGAACTAGAATCAGTGTCTACTTTACGTTTCAGTAGAGCCCCAGAGTTCCCTGCATTGCAAGTTTAAGTTCCTTTCCCTGCGTCAACTTTATTTAAGGCGGGGACCAGATGAGGATAATCATGGGGGAAAGCAGAATAAGAATAATAGAGAGGTGGAAGATAATTTGACAATTGGGAGCTCCTAAAAAGAGATGCTATAAAAGCAGAGGACAAAAGGGAAATGAAAAAGAGATGCTTGACAATTTGGGCAAAAGACAATGGAAGGGAGGGCACTCTTGAAAACCATGCCCTGACTGTGACTTTTCATTTCTATGTGGGATTTTGATGCTCAAATTCAACAAAAAGATGCCCTGCCCATCCAGATGAGGGAAGTAAGTAGAGATGAGGATAACCATGGGGAGTTGAATTAGAGCATGAAATCTGGAGCAAAATTAGCACATCTGCTGTCAGACACAAAATCATAGCCCGTTTGGGTAAAAAGAAACCAAATTGGGAGGGATGGAAATAGGCAGTAATATACAAAAGACATATACATAACTAATGCATACATTCCAAACTTCATATCCCAAAAATAAATAGAGCAGGGTATCATACATGAGCATTTCTGGAACAGATCCATATAATACAACACATTGTTAGCAATCATAAGTTCATAACTGATACATAAACCATTACAGAAACATCCCATCAGAACTCAGAGTGTCTCTGCAGCATAGTTAGGGGCAGTAGATGATAAATTAGAAATCTTTTAACAAAAAAGATGAAGTAGAACGAAGGTAAAACCGACATTGACTAGGCAATACAAGACTCAGTTGTCTGGCAATGGTTTACCACATTCTGTAAACTCCACGCATTCAAGAGTTGGTATACTTCATGTTCCTCTTACTTGAACATCTACATTAGGCACACGACACACAAAGCCTCCTTTCCCAATACCACTGCATTAAAAGCTTAACACCAAATGTCTAATTCAGCTAGAGACATCCCTATCTAGCTGGATTGAACCCAAGATGCAAAACAAATGGTGTAAATTGGACAGAACAACGGCGGGTATGAGGTGACATTTCTGTGCAGAGTTCAACAGCTACCATAGAGGCTAAATCAATCAATGCTCTTAACCTAGCAAGAAAACAAATCAATGCTCTTTCTTAAAGCGCCCTCTAAAGTCCGAAATCTATTCTCAGAAAACAAATGAATCTTCTTCAATGAAAGTGGGGCAATAAAGGAATGTTATTGAGATGTTTTATGAACCAAAAAAACAAAATCAAAAGTTCGAAGCAATCGATACGATAACAATGAATCATCGATACAGTCACACAGAGCAATTAAACACATTTCAAGCAGAGCTGGATCAATTCAAACCTTGCACAGGCACTACAATCGCAGAAAACTTAACAGACAAGTCATCAAGCCATCATCAGAAACCAATTGATTTCTCAGTCAATAGACACGCCATTAACAAAGCCACCTGCAAGCAAAAAATTAACACAGCACAAAGCAGGGGGAAAATCAATGGAACTGGCTCAGCTATTCATACAGCTCATTGATCCAATCCTCCCTGATACTCCAGATCAATCGCCGGACAAAAATCTAGACAATCGAATCAAAACACAGAACCGAAAGATCTATCAGAAAAAAACAACAAATTAATTCTCCAATCAAACTGAAAACCAGAAGATCTATCAACATCGCAGGATTAGATTCCCTCCTTACCGCACATACCGAAACCGAATCTGACACAAGAGCAGATGACATCAGATGAAAACTAAACCAGAAACGCCTGAAACAGATCTGCAGTTAAGAAGAATTAACGGAGATGCAATCCAATCCAATCAAATCCCGATCCCCAAACCTTACCGCCATGCAAGTCTAACCTCTCTTCCGGCCGACATCGCCCCAAAAAAAAAAAAAATTCACTGCGGCCTCCGATTCAGTTGATGCAAGGCGGGATCTAATCGTCCCCTTCCGCCGCCGCAGCGGAAATTGCCGCACCTAAATCAGATGTCGTCGGCAATCAGGGACAGGGGAGGTGACAGAAGCAATCAGTTCCCGACCTGCACCAAGCGAATTCGAGACCGCAAAGTGAATCACTCCGCCATCTCTCTCTCTCTCTCTCGCTTTCCTTTTGCTTTCTCCACTGCGCACAAGCAGCAGCCACTGACAAACCCACGCTGCTGCTGCTGCGGCGGGTGGGCGCCTTTTAACGGGAAAAATGTAAGCCTTCTTCTCTCTCGTTGGATGGAAGTTTGTGGAAACGGTGGGGGAGACGAGGGTGATTTATAATCGGGATAGACCAACGTGATCTTGACACGTGGAAGCTCGCTGTATCTGCCGTCTGATCGAGGATTGTTGTTTGGTTTTCCGTTTTTCTTATTTTCCCGCTGGGCGAGTTCAGACTGAGCTGAGCTGGCGTGGAAGAAAAGCAAAAACAAAGCAGAACAGCTAATGGCAGCAAGCTGCTTCTCTTTTTCTTTTTTTTTTTCTTCTTATTTTGACATTTTTATTTTCCTTTTTGGGTTTATTAATTATCACATTGTAAGGAGCCCGGTGGTTGGCAACAAATTACGGTGCGCCACTCTGGGGATAGTGTAACGGTGCCACGGTGGGAAAGCGCTGCAAGTTAAGTTATACGGTGAATGGTAAAATATATCGGGTATTAATTAAACTATTTAAATAAGAACTAGTTTTTGTCTGATTTGTTGGTCGGATGAATTTATTTATTTGTGACTACTTTATGATAATCACCTTATTAGAGTTTTTATCTTAGAACTTTATGTTGTTTTCTTATTTCACCTACCCATGCACACACGCGGATCTTTCTAGATTTGTTAGTCCTTTTGAGGTCAAGTTAAGATATGTTCTAGAGAGATAAGTAGTATTCCAAGTTTTAGAGAGAGAATCCAACTTGCTTAAATGCTCTTACCTGCCCCCTATTTATACCCGATGTGAATCCGACAACCTTATCAACGCATTAAAAGTCTTATTCCCCAAACGGGCATGCGCCCCGACCAACGCTCTTGATCACACACGCCGCCACGCAGGGGCGTAGTCAGGATTTTATCAAAGGTGGATCCACTCAGGGGAAAAATTCACACGATAGAATAGTTTTATTAGCTTTTTTAAATCATTCATGATATAATTTTGTATTTAAAAACCTGGTAAATTAAATATATTTCAAAACTATCAAGAATATCACTTTATATGTATCAAACAATTATTCATTATTTGGTTACACATTTGCTTTTGAACGGTGGTCTTTATCAAGACCGTTTAGTATTAATAATTCGAGTTATTGGAGAAGATTTAATAATGTATCTTACACTATTTAGTATTTACTAACACTTCCTGCTAATGAAAATCAACTCATACGTGCCTAAAGTTTTCACAAATCTCAAATATCATGTGCTTAACAAATGAGGTCACCAAGATTCGAACATATGATCTCTCTATCAATCATTCTCAATTAGAAGTGCTCTAAATTTTATTCTCAATTCACTATATATTATACTAATTTACTCAATTTCGTCATTAGGAGTCACCAATTACACTCTCCCTACCCCTTATTGGTATACGATAATTTTTTAAAAATGGCTATGATAGGTGAAAATTTGTTGTTGATATTGAATAAGTACATCTTTAATTTTAGGCGTATCATAATTTATAAATCATTATAAAAACATTGAGAGGTCGTTTACTTGTAGGATTTTGATGATATGTGTTGGATTATGGTCCAAATCCATGTTTGTTGATAAAAAATGAAGTTGACCTAAATCCGTGGAGCCCACAAATGTGGGATTTTCTTTTGCTCAAAATCCGTGAACCCCACGGTTATAAAATCCCAACTCATGAGGTAAGATTTTGAGAAGTGTCAAAATCCGTGGATCCCACTAACTATGAATGACCAAAGTATCTTTAACAAAAAAAAAATACTTTATGATGATAGGAAGAAGGATAAGAAGGTAAACTCATCATTTAACCCGTAAATCCAAAATAGTAAGGTCCATTTTGAAATCCATCAAGCAAACATGCAATTTTTAAAATCCAACACAAATCCAACATAGCAAAATCCAACATAATCCCAAAATCCCAAAATCCTTCATTTTTTAAAATCCCACAAGCAAACCACCTCTTTGAATATGTTAATAAACAACTTATAAATCATACATCAAATATTAAAAAAAAACCATTTTCCCAAGCCATGTGGGTCCCGGGATCCACCCTCTAACCCTCTCCCTCCGCCCCTGCCGCCACAAAGGCACATCCGCCAGACTGTCAATATCAATATTGATTTGGAGAGACACTTACTTTGTCGTCATGCTCCTCCGAGTAGGGTTTTTCTCCTTGCCCAGCCCAAAATAAGCATGGTGGGTTTTAGTATTCCTGTACTGACTCTTTCATTGATGCTATGTTAAGTGTGCCTAGCCTCATGTATTAATCTCCCCTAACACAATTCATTCATATTTTCAAATGATTTTGGGTACGCTCAATTGTTTACTAAAGAGTCGAAAGTATGTTTGTGCTACTTGATAATTTTTACATTGATAATAATTAGTTCATATGTAACTTTCTTGATCGGTTATCCTAAGGTACTAATTTCTATACATTCGATATTAAAGAATTTGCCGTCAGATGTACTTAGATGAGCTCCGGCCGATCACAACGGTCAGTTTTTGTTTTCATTAAATCAAACTTCGGGTTGGGGTTTAGAAAATTGGTGCCTGGGGTTTATCCATTAGAGGTTAGGGTATAGTATCGTACCCCAAACTCGATTTAATTCATGGTCTAGATAGAGATATCTCACTAGTAGTACCTGACGTATAGTATACGCCTGACGTTAATGTGTATTGAAGGGTGTTTGTACAACTTGCTTCATGTTTTCAGTTTAGTTACTGTTGATTTCGTTGTATGGTGAAGCAATTTGTTATGCATTGTCGTTACCCAATTGAAAGAACTTTGTCATATGTTCTATTGAACTCAAATATGCTGCTAGATGGGAGCCAACATTGGTCGAAATTTATTGATTGTGAGAGATGGAGAAGAAGTGGAAAAGAAAGATAGAAAATGGGTTGGAAGGAGAGGTTATATGACTATTCATTTGTCGCTCTTAATTTTCCTTTTTTGTTAGTGAATATCTCCCTTCTTTTGTTGCTTTCTTTTTTTTATTTAAGTTAATTAGCAGTTTAGCACAAGACACAAAAAAAAACTCCAAGTTGTCAAGTTAACACAAAAATTATCACGTTAGTGTGTCCAGTTTATATAGTCAACATAGGTACGATGGTGGTATGAAGTTTAACATATTTCATGCATGAAATGACTATATTTGTAGTATAAAAAATGACTACTTTTGTCACAAAGGTCGACGTTCTGGTTATGCATATGCATTTTTCAAGTACTGAAAACCATACTGTACCGGTGATTCAACCAGAAAAACCTCATACCAAAAACAAAACTAATAGGCGACATTTAGCGGTATGAAACGGTTGAACCACGATTAAACCATGGTTTCAACATAAAATACTTTACCGCTGACTTTCCCGATACACCTTTTCAATCATTGGTACACTTAAATATTTAATAATCAAATGAGTGTTACTTGAGTTTTGATTTCAAGATTAATTTTATTCTGTAAGATATCACTAACTTCAAATAAAATATAAAACATCATATACCGAATATGTCTAGTGTTTAATTAAAGAAATTGCAACAAATACAATGTAGTTTAGTTGCTTTTACTTTTACTTTTATATTTTTATATGGGTAATATAGATTTATCCTTTGTACTGTAGTTGTTTATAAACTTATAATAATTTTTGGAAAAAAATCCTAAAATACATATATTTTTAAAAAAATTCTCAAAATACACACGTTATGAAAAAAATTCCAAATCTACCCATGTTTGGGCATTCACCGCGGCACAGAAAGGCGGTCATTGCATCACCGCATGAGAGAAGAGCAGTGATGCAATCACCGCCCTCCTCTCTTGCGATGATGCAATCACCGCCTTTCTCTGCCGCAGTGAATGCCCAAACATGCGTAGATTGGGATTTTTTTTCATAACTTGTGTATTTTGAGAATTTTTTTTTAAAAACATGTGTATTTTGGGATTTTTTCATACTTTTTCTTCATTTGAGTAACATGATTTCAAATCTCAATAATCAACTTTTTAATATATAAACAAATTATATACAATTACTAAATGGAGCTTATTGGAATCGCTCCCCGTCCACAAAATTCGAAATGAGGATTGTAGTTTTTTCATTCGACTTTAAAGAAATGAGTTTTGTTTGATTAAAAACATGATATCAAATATGATCTAGTCTAATTGGTTAAGTGCTCCTTCTTTATTTGAGTGACCACGGTTTGAATCCTACTAATGCACTTTTTAAATATATAAAGAAATGAGGTGCTATTACTAAATAGATTTTCCTAGAATCGCTCTTAGACCACGAAATTTGAAATGGAGATGACGGTTTTACTTTTCAGCTATCATAAATAGTATAGAGATGTAGATATAGCATTGCATCGTGAAACATTGTAAAACATTAACTAGTCAGGGGCCCGACCAGTTGGCCGAGTTCGTTTGCCAATCACGTAAACAACAATAGCTATCTGTATGCGAGATACGTGTTTCTTTGGTAGTATGAGAAAATTTGATTTGTTCAAATACTTAAAACATTCAATTTAATTAGTAGTATAAGAGAATCAAAATTATTTAGTAATTCAACCATTTAAAAGGATCAACATCATAATGTTTCCCAACGCTCTAACTGACTCATCGACTAAAATGTCTTTATGAAAAATGAAAGAAAAACATCATGAAAGGGATTTGGCTCTTAATTCAAATCACCCTTTTGTCTACGCATCATCGTCAGAGATTACTGCAACTTTTCTTTTTGTATATCATTAATAATAATATCTCCACCAATAATAATATCTTCGTTTGAAATATGTTCCTTCACTGTAATTGAAATAGAGATCACCATAAACATGATTCACAATATCAACAATGTCATCACCTTCAAGCAGAATGCTCAAAGAAGTTGGAGTTGAGATAATTGACTCCCACAAACACTGGATTCCACTCCATCACCTATATGCGAATTTTTCAATCTAAATAACTTCTTCAAACCCACAAATTTTCAGGCAGAATCTCATGTTTTGAGAGTGATAAATACAACCTTTTGATAAAAGAGGTTTCGAAACTT